AATTACTGCATGACTCTGTATCTTAGCTTTTTTATGAGGAAACTTGGCATGGATGAGATACCTACAGAGATCTCATATCTTTAAAGCTTTCTGATAACAGGGAATAAATTTTAAAATTTTAATTTATTCTTTATTACTATAGATTCATTTATTGAGGTTTTAATAATATGTACTAGAAACGTTTCAAGGGGAGCTCTGGTGGCCTAGTGGCAAGGAGCTGCAACTACAATCCCAGAGGCTCACGGTTCAAATCCACCAGATGCTCTGCCGGGGAAGGAGGGACAATCTCCTCCTGTACCAGTCAGATCTGATCTGACGGTACACTCACACAAAAATAATAAAATAAAATAATAAAAAAAAAGAAACGTTTCAAAGGGCATCGATTATTCAATCCTGAATGCAATCCTCTGAAATTGTCGTTGTTATGTGCTGTCTGGTCACCTGTGACTCATAGCAACCCAAAACAACCCTAAACCCTTCTCTATCCTGAGCCAACCTTATTGTCTTTGACACCCCCCATTACTTCAGTCACTGAATCAACCCATCTCATCGAGGATCTTCCTCTCCTGTGCTCTCCCTCCACCCTCCCAAGCATGACGTCTCTCTCCAAGGACCAGTCCCTCCTTGCAGCATGCCCAAACTATGTCAGACGAAGCTTCACAATCCTTGCCTCCAAGGAGTTTGGTTTTCTATTATCATTGTTATTGTTGTTTGCTGTGCAGTCGATTCCTACTCATTGTTCCCCTATACACAGTAGAACTGCCACATTAGGTTCCCAAGGCTGGGACACCTACAGAAGTGACCTATCATATCTCTCTTCTGCGGAGCAGTTCATGGGTTCAAACTACCAAACTTACTGGTTAGCAGTCCAGTGTGTAACCATTTAACCAAGTAACACCAGAGACCCTGTATTATTATTATTATTATTATTATTCCCATTTTACAGATGAAGAAATGGAGGCACAGGGTAGTTAAATAATTAGCCCAAGAATGCATAGGTCACATACTTAGGAAGAGATTGAATTGAATTTGAATCTAGGCAGTTCAAGGTTGCCCTTAATTAGCAGTATGGTTTTCTTTAACAATTGTTGTTATTGTTGTTAAGTTCTGTTGACCACTACTCACAATGACCCTGTGAACAATGGATCTGAACACTGCCCTCTCCTGTACCGTCATTTCTGAAACACTCAAGTACACCATTACAGTCACTGGGTCAGTCCATCTCATTTACACTCCTTTGCTGACCTTTCCAAGCATGAGATCCTTTTCCAAGACTGGCCCCTCGTAACCACATGCCCGAAGTATGTGAGACAAAGCTTTACTGTCTTTACCTCCAATGAGCACTCTGGTTGGATCTGTTTTCCTTTTGTCTAATACATTAATTTGATTCATTAGTGAGATGAGTTAAGGGAGGTCCAGGCCATGGTGCTCTGACCTCCCAGCTGAGAGTGAGGTCTGAATTGTCACCTTCTCACGCCTGGAAGTGAATCACCTAGAACTGTGGCACATAGCTCTAGGTGTAGTCACTGGACCTTTCATGAGCCTACAAATGGTTTTGCGAGTCTTTTCTAAGGATATGGACGAGAAAAATGGACAAAACCAGAGATTATTCTATGTTAAACTATTTAACTATTCCATGTTAAACTATTTAACATGGACACTGATTGTTTAGAAGGTTTCAGTAGCTGGTAAGCCTAGAATGGGGTTCTAGAGACTCTCTGTTGTGCCTGGGGATACACGTAGAGAACAGGAAGAGAGTCATGAGGGAAGAGCCCCAGTGGCACTCAGATAGTGTCTGAGCAGGTACTGTTTACCAGCTCTATGAACTAGTGGGGCCTAGTGGTAAGGAACTGCACTGTCAACATAAAGGCATGTTGTTCAAATCCACCAGCTGCTCCATGGAAGAAAGACGGCCATATTCTTCCTGTGTGATTTTCTGCCTCTAAAAACCTGCTGGAGGTCAGCATTGGGTGGATTCCAACTCAATGGTACATAATAACAACAACATAATGAAATATTTTGGTGTTTTTATGACTTGTACCTCTGTAGCCCTTCCATATAATTCTGTAGAAATTAGAAAAGGGTCCCTAAAGAAACCATAACTGCCACCCAAGCAGATATATGCACACCCATGTTTACTGTGGCTTTGTTCACAATAGCAGAGAGTTGAAAACAACCTAAGTGCCCATCAACAAAAGAATGGATAGAGAAGCTCTGGTCTATTCACACAATGAAATAATAGTATGCTGCAAAGAAATACAAAGAACTCATGAAATATTATAGAAAATGGATTATCCTGGAGGATATTATGCTGAGTAAAATATCCCAGTCACAAAAGGACAAATATTGCCTAGTGCCATTGTTATAAAACGTGACTGACATCAAGGTTATGGGGAGACTGAGAAAGAGGTAATAAATAAGGTATACTGGCATTGAAACAGATGAATGTGTTCAAAAGCAATATATGATTAGGTATTATTTTCATGACAGGAGTCCAGAACGAAGGCTGCATAGTGGAGTGGACTTGGTGGGAGGGATTATATAACAATGAAAGAATTTTTCTTTTACTTTTCAGAGAGAAGAGTGAATTGGGGGGGAGGAGGGGTGGACAGGGAGAAAAATGCAACAATGAATGAATGGAAATCTAAAGTCTTGGTAAACGTTCATTGAAATTAATAATGAAATTTAAAAAAAGGAAATTAGAAAAGGGTGGCTCTGCTCATAGGCACTGAGCTTGGGATGTGGAGTGCAGGCCTGGAGCCCTTATTCAGAGCATACTCTTCCAGTAGCCATAGAGACAACCTTCTGTTACAACAGTTCTCACAGTGGTGAAGGAAATGCGTATCAGGTTTTTTGATGGATCTGGCTCCTTCTTGTTTATCACAAAGGGAACATAATTTGAGCAGAGTCGAGAAACAGTGCTTCATAGTATTACTCATAGTATTACAAAGGTAGCAGTTATTCTTTGCAGTTCGATTGTGTGACTGTAAAGTGGCTTTTGGTTACTGATCTGGGTAAAAATTTTCACTCAAATGATCTTCAAGACTAAGGAAGACTAAGACACTAAAGATCAAGGAAGATTAAAACAAACAAACAAAGCAAAAGTTGATTCTTACTTAAAGCAACTCTTTGTGTAATTTTATACCCCTACAAAAATGACTATCCGATTCTCTTGTACTTGCTTTAATAGATTCCTTTTGGATACTTATTATGCTAAGTCTGTTTCAAGGAGGAGTGATAAAGGCTTATTTCAGCACTTAAGGTTTCCATGACTAATTATTTCGTTTCTGTTGGACCTTAGGTGTAGTTTCTAATTGTTTAAATGCAAACATGAGTCACATCTTTTAATCATTTCAGCTCAGGGTCTGGTTCTGTGCTATGAGATTAAGGATGCAGAAAGGATAGGAATAGCCCTTGCCCTCAAGGAGCCCTCAAGCAGCCTACAGTCATTTCATGAGGTCAGTGAGTGAAACAATTAGAAAACAGTAATTACAGAAAGTGAAGGAGTCTAAGTGCTCCAGAGTGAGTGTTCAAGGAAGACTCTAATGGGAGAAAGAGTATGATTCTTCACAGGCAGGTGGAAACTCCATCGTCTCTCATTTACTTTACTTCCATAGCTGCCTTGTTTTCAGCCGGAGTGCCAGAACCATGGTATGCTATGGCCTAAACGTCCCATGGCTTTCCACTGAAAGTGCATAAAGACGCTTTTCTTAAGATCTTGTTTGAACCTCCCCGCTCCTTGCTCACTCAGCTCCAGTTACACCAGCTAAGCATTTGTTTCTGGAACATGCTTTTTCTTTGCTGAGAAGCCTTCGCAGAAGTACCCACAGAGCTTCTTAGAATCTGATTCTCTCATTACTTGGGTTTCAGCTCAAATGTCACTCTCTTCAGTGCTCCTATCATCTGAAGGAACCATCCACCTCCAAATGAGTACTCTATTTGTTGTCTTTGAGACACCTAGTAGAATCCAACAGCCTTTTGTTTGTTTGCTAGTCTGTCACCCGTCTCTTTCCACTAGCTAGCATGAAAGCACCGTAAAACCAGAACTGAATTAGTCTTGACTCTCATGTATCCTGATCCCTGGACTAGGACCTGGATTTTAATAGATATACAATTGATATTTTTTACTAATTCAATGACTAATAGATGCCTCGTCAGGATAATTTCCTCTTCAGTGAGGCTTTGTTCAAAATTCATGTCATTTTAAAAACAGGATTTATCTTTCTCTTACTGACACTGGGTACTATGACGCTGTCATAGGTGATGCAAATATCACTTTCAAGTTTGCGGTCTTTGTTTTTACATTTTTTTGGTGCCTCTGTGAGAGAAGGATGGACAATCTCTTTCCATAAGATTTATGGAACCTATAAGACAGAAATGCTTTGATTTTAATGTAGTTAAATCTATCAATCTTTTCTTTAATGGTCTGCAGTTTTTATATTCTAGGTATAAAATTCTTTTTCCTAGGAAAAAATTTTTTTTTTTACCTCTCACATTTAGGCCTTCAACAGACCTGAAATAGATTGACATGGCAGGAGTTTCCGTTTCCCCCACTGTGAAGAAACAGTTGTCACAGCTGTTAGATGTTCATATATTTGTGCAACAGGCACGTTGGCTCAGGACAGGAGAGGGTTCAGAGCTGTTGTACATAGGGTTATTATGCATTGCAGGTGACTAGATGGCATGTAACAACAACAGGCACACTTTAAAGATAAGACAACCCCACCAGTGGTAACTTGCTGAAGGAAGGTTTATTGAGTATTAAGACTTGACAACAGATTTCTGTAGAATAATCAAATAAGTCATCATATTGGCATGTGACATTCTTTCAGAAGACTGGGGAGATCCTGGTATTGATTACTGTTAGAGAGATTACATTTCAATAAGAGAAAGAAAACAGGAGAGAACTTTTCTTAGGCTTGCTCATTATCTCAAGGTTTGTAATGCCTTCTTTTCTCTGAAGGCATCTGGAGTGTCCCCCCTGTTGTGCAAATAGCAAACTAATTGCTCTGGGATTTCTCTTCTAGGGAGTGGAGCCTGCTGGTAAGTATTTTGCTTCTTGGTCGACCTCCTCAAGGACTTTTTTAACCACGATGGCTTTGGCTGGCTCTAAAAGGAAAATTTCAGACTTGATTTTAGAGGGTTAAGAAAAGATGAAGAGATTTTATCAATTAATGGAATAAGATTTTTATTGTCTTACAATATATTTACTATTTTATTCATTGTGCAACGAGCACAAATACTTCGAGGTATTATTTGTGAATTTTGATTCCTTAGCCACAAACATGTTGGCATGCTGCTTTGTTTAAAATTGGTACTTGTGGGGTCAAGATTAGTGGACGATTTATCAACAACCTGCGTTATACGGATGACACAACCCTGTTTGCTGAAACTGAAGAGGACCTGAAGTGCCTGCTGCAGAGTGTCAAGGACTGCAGCCTACAATATGGATTGAGGCTCAATGTCAAGAAGACAAAGATTCTCACCACTGGACCAATTGGCAGCATCAGGATGGATGGTGAAGAGACTGAGATTGTACACAGCTTTAGTTTGCTTGGCTCTGTAGTCAACAGTCTTGGCACCAGCAGCCAGGAAATTAAAAGGTGCATTGCCATGGGAAAGTCTGCTGTTAGGGACCTCTCCAAAGTACTGAAGAGCAATGGTGTCTCTCTGGAGACTAAGGTGCGTCTGATACAGGCTATGGTCTTCACAGTCACTTGTTATGCATCAGAGAGTTGGACAATGACCAAGGAGGATAGAAGGAGAATTGATGCCTTTGAGCTGTGGTGCTGGAGAAGAGTATTGAGAATACCGTGGACTGTTAGGAAAACAAACAGATTTGTCCTGGAAAGGGTTAAACTGGGTGGCTCCGTGGAGGCAAGGATTCTGAGGCTCCGTCTAACATACTTTGGACATGTTGTGAGGAGAGACCGGTTCTTGGAGAGGGACATCATGCTTGGGAGGATGGAAGGACGGTGCAGGAGAGGAAGGCCCTCTATGAGGTGGATTGATTCAGTGACTGGGATAATTGGGATGGGAGTATCAGAGACAGTGCGATTGGCACAGGACAGAGCAGAGTTTAGGGCTGTTGTACATAGGGTCGCTATGAGTCGCAAGCGACTCGATGGCACATAACAACAACAACAACTTGTCATACCAGTTAGACATCTAGTTCACGGATTTCTAGTACAGATCTTGATTGTCTCTATTCTTACCAAGTCCCGCTGCTACTATCAAAACAAACAAGAATCACACCGACAAGGAAAATGTCCTGCAGAGTCTCTTTCTAATTACCTTTCATCTGATTCCCCACACTTCCAGATCCATACTCTTTAGACTTGTAACTTCCAGACTTGCAAGCCCTGTGAATGTGTGTTGTTGGAAACATCACAAAAGAGATTGGTTAAGAGAAAATTCCTTGGATTTTAGATTCACTATTACATTTTTAATGAATTATGCAATTCTTGGAGAGTTGCACAATTGAAACTATTCTGCCTTAGCTCCAAAAGGTTTAAATCCACCAGCGGCTCCGAGGGAGAAGGGTATAGAGTCTCCTCCTGTATGACTTACTGCCTCTGAAAACCTGCTAGAGGGTCACCGATGGCTTGGCTCTGATTCAGTCGTATGTAACAACAGATCACACATATTTCCACTTGTCACATTTTGGTTTTGCAAAATGTTCCTAATTTATATCCTGGTAGTAGGATATTGAGTTATATATTTCATAGTCATGAATATGGTCACATTAACTCATATTGACCTTCTAGACATCTAAGTTTCAAGTAGATTTCAGTATGTGACATCTTTTCCTTTTAATTGTTACACAACGAAGTATTATGCCACATTGAAAAGTCATGAGCTCAAACAGCCTAAGTGGCCATCAACAAACGAATGGATAGAGAAGCTGTGGTATATCCACACAATGGAATACTACACTGCATTTAAAAACAAGGAACTCATGAAATATTATTCAAAATGGGTGACCCTGGAGGACATTATGCTGAGTGAAATATCTCAGTTACGAAAGGACAAATATTGCATAGTGCCACTGTTGTAGAATGGAATTGACATCAGGGTTGGGGTGAGACTGAGAAAAATTGGATAAATTATGTATATTGCATTGAAACAAATGAGGGAAAAATAGTTTAAAAGTGATATATGATTGGGTATTATGGTTATGACAAGAGTACATGAATGAAGGTTGCATAGTGGAGTGTACTCGGGGTGGGGGGGATTGTATACCTATGAAGGAATTTTCCTTTTACTTTTCAAAGAGAAGAGTGAACTAGAGGGAGGGGTGGGCAGGGAGAAAAATGCAACAATGAATGAATGGAAATACAAAATCTTTGTAAATGTTCATGAAAATGAATAAAATAAAATTTAGGGAAAAAAAACCCCAAAAGTAATGAGCTCGTGAAACACTATACAATCTAGGTCATTCTAGGGGAAGTTATGCTGAATGAAAGAAATCAGTCACAAAAGTATAAACAATGTGCAAAACCACTGTTATAAAAATAGGATGATTGAGGGGGAAAGGGTGTCGGGGAGAGAAGAAAGAGAATGGGTAGTTAATTCTCATGTTGGAGGTCAATCTGAAATGAATAGATGATCAGATAATATGTGCATTGCAAATAACAGTCTGGAGGATATACACTATAAATTAAATGGAGCTGGGGAGGAAAAAGAAGGGGAAAATTAATAAACAGAAGATGAGAAGGTGGTTTAGGACAATAGCAATATATAATAAAGGCTTGCTTAGACATTATGCTATGTTAAATGCACCAGTCAATGGTAATGCTATGAATGATTGGGAAAAAACCCAAATATGATTTGCAAACTTTTGTTCAAATTCTGTTACCATCGAGTCAGAACTGACCCACAGCTGACCTTCCAGCAGGTTTTCTGAGCTATCACATGGGAATAGGTTGCTCATCCTTCTCCCGCTGAGCAGTTTGGGATTGCAGTGATTTTAAAAAAATGATGATGCACTTGAGAAAGAATAAAAAAATGCTTTACTTACCCATCATCTCCACCTATGAGGAGGCAGTAGGTCTCGATCTCCTTCTCCAGGTGAACCTTGATGTCGAGCAGCTGCTCGTACTCGAGTTTCTGGCCCTCGGTCTCGGTTCTGACCTGGTGCAGCTGCTCCTCCAGGGCCCCGATCTGAGCCTGGATCTGTGCGAGCTGTGTGCAGTAGTTGCCTTCGGTCTCGGTCAGGGAGCACTCCAGGGAGTGTTTCTGTCAGGAAACGATAAACAGAACCCAAGCTGCAGCTACAGAAACGCAGACATTTGCTTCGGGTTGAGTTTCTCTGCTATTTAGCTTGTCTGAGAATTGCTTTAGAGTTCATGTGAACACATATTTAAGACAACTTTATGACCCTGCTTTTAAAAATAAGCAAATCAATGATTATTAATCTTATTAGGGGCAGAAGGGAGGGAGACAGGGTGACCTTTTTTTAGGGGGCACTGATTTTACGTTAATGATGGTGAAAGATATGAGAAAAAAATTGTCAAAAAAAACAATTTGGAGAAAAATATTAAAAAAAAGAATTTGGAAAAAATATAGCAACAATGGTCTACAACTTGAAGAATGTGATCAATTCTAATGAATTATTCAAGCAGGAACTGTTGAACTTGTTTATGCTTTGTTGTGCATTTTTCATCAGAATATTAAAAAAAATCCCAAATACTTATTTTTCATACAAGACTTTTGTCCATGTTGTTTTAAGCACCATAAATGAAATTCCATTCTTTATCTTTTAAGCTAATGACATAAATGTATATCGGGGCATGATTTAATAATTTTAAAGCCAAAAGTCCTGTGTTTAATTGACAGCCCAGGGGATGAAGAGAAAATGGTCCTTTCCGTACCGTGGCTAAGAGAGACTGAAGTTCAATTTCCAGGGTTTGAAGAGTGCGTTTCATTTCCGTGAGCTCGTTCCTGGCCGAGGTTGTGGCCCCGGCATCCTCAGAGATTTGCTGCTGCAGCGAAGCGCTCTGAAATGGTGTCAAACTTCAGTTGTGTGGACATCATTGACACTGCAGAGGGTTTGTTGTCTGGACTACAGTTACCTTCTCGTTGAACCAGGCCTCGGCGTCCCTGCGGTTCTGCTCTGCAAGGTCTTCATACTCAGCTCGCATGTTGTTCAGGAGGACAGTGAGGTCCACCCCTGGGGCTGCGTTCATCTCCACGTTCACGTTGCCCCCAGCCGCGCACTGCAGCGTCTTCATTTCCTAGGTGCAAAACAATGTTCACTTACATACTCAGTTCTCATAGAAACTCAACTACATCCTGAACACAGAAAACAGGAGCATAGGGTTGAATTATCTGGTATAATTCTGAAATGGAAAGAATTACAAATACATCATATACACATGTATGTTGCTGTTGTGTACTATAGATTTGGAGCCAACCCACAGCTGACCCTCCTGTGGGTTTTCAGAGGCAGTAAATAGGAGGACACTGATGGATTGAAACTATGCTTTTTTGGTGGCCTAGTGGCAAGGAGCTGCAACTACAATCCCAGAGGCGCATGGTTCGAATCCACCAGATGCTCTGCCGGGAAAGGAGGGACAATCTCCTCCTGTACCAGTCAGATCTGATTTGACGGTACACTCACACAAAAATAATAAAATAAAAAAAATAAATTCTGTATAAAACAAAACCAAAAACAAAACCTGTGCTTTTGCACTGGCAGGATAATTTCTTACCATTAAAGTCACCAGAGTTCCCTACACATATAAATGTATGCACACACACACACACACACGTTTTGCTGTTATGTACCATTGAGTCATCTCATGACTCATTGTTGGTTGACCAACTCATTGTTAGTTGACCCTCCAGGTCGGCAGTTCTCCCTCTCATATATATTTATGGATATAGATGTCATTTTCTCCCCTCCCCTATATTCCACCTCCTGGCTCCAAGGAAATTCTTTTGAAGACTCTCAGTTGTCTATCTAGAACATTACAGTGTACTATTGGACTTTGAAGTAGACAAACTTTTGTGTTGATTCTGGTTTTGCCTTGTGATAATCGTGAGAACTTGGAAAGCTGCTTAAACTACTTACATCTCAGTTTTCTTATTTGAAAAATTGTAGATAATAAAAAAATGTTTCCCCCATGTTGTGAAAGAACTAGTAACAACCCATTGCCCTTCGGTCAATTCAGACTAATAGGGAACTTCCATTGAATTTCTGAGGTTGTAAATCTCTATGAGAGAATAATTAGCTCCTTAATAATACCAAGATCTAACGTTATTGCCTGGCATATGAATGATGGATACATGCAAGTTATTTTAATTATTATTTTTTTTAGTTTTACAATTGTTTAATGTCTTTTATTTGTTTGTTTGTTTTTTAATTTCAATGAACATCTAGAGAGATTTCGGAATTCCATTCATTCATTGTTGTACTTTTCTCCCCGCCCCTCCCCCCATTCACTCTTCTCCTTGAAAAGCAAAGAAAAACCAATGAAGAGGTTATTGTAATTATTATGGTCAGTCTAGAGGAAGCTCTGGTGACAAAGCCCATAGAAGCTATATCCATGCCTCTTGGGAGCTCAAATCCACCAACAGAAGAAAGATGAGAAATCTCCTCCAGGTTGACTTACAGCCTCTGAAAACCCAGTGGAAGGTCAGCTATGAGCTGGTTCTGACTTTATGGCAATGAATGAGTTTTGTCATCATAGAAGTCAGAATTTATTTGCTATAGTCTACTCGTTATTATGTCTGAAGTGACAGAATGTAAGGAATTGCTTCTAGGAAAGAGTGCAAATGGTCACCATCACTGCTACGCCTGTGTACTCTGAGTTATATGGCTCAGTTTACGGCTAGGCCCCAACAACTCTACCCCACTCATACGTGGATTGGCTCTGAGGATGACAACTGAGCTTTCTCTCTTTCCTCCCTGCATCAAATCCCTCAGGTGGTCCTAGTATTCTTTCCTCCCTGCCGGTCTAGTCCCTATACCTTCTCTAACCCGGATGTGTGCTGTTACTTCTCAGGATTTAGTGAAAACTTTCCAATTCAAGCAAAAAAAAGAGAAGGGAAGAAAGAAAATGAAACCCTAAGTCTCTGTAACTTTCATTAAAATAAATAGTAAAAAAAAGAAGATGCACTTGGGTTAGCCTGGAAGTGAGGCACTACAAATGTCAATTGCATTCAATTCACCAAAATTTATTACACAATTAGCTTGGGCTGGGATCACACCTGAACTTTTACATTCACACAATTGTTTTCAAAAGTTATGTTTTCCAGACAACTTCAAGTAGCTTTCTAAATTGATCTGTGGAAGTCTCTTGGCCAAATAAACATTTCAAATTAATTTTCAAAGGGTCACATTTCTTTCTCGTCCATAAAATAGTGGTTCATTGTTTCATAAAATTTGATTGGAGCAGTAGCTATGTAATTTTATTATGAGTTAACTTCTAATGGGGGCCACTTTGGGAGTATGTTATTTATCTGGAAATGTCTGTAAATTCTGGTATGGAAATTGACTTTTTGTCTCAACTTTAAAAGCCATACCTGCTAAGAATATTTGTTAATTAAGTATAGATGTTTAACTTTTGTATGAAGTAAATGTTTCAGAGTTTTAATTCTGCTACCATTGTGTGGAAATTCCCACCTAGTTTCCTTAGGATGTTCTTAAAGTATTCCTTATTTTATCTAATTAGATGTAATCTCTTAAATGAGTGTTTTAACCTGGCTATAATTACATGGTCAAACACTATTCTTATAACCCTGATTGGAAAACACGATTTCTTTGTTTCCCATGGGAAGCTTGATAAGAGAGCAGAGGTGAACTGGTTCAAATACTCCCCCACATCTAAACACAATTTGGCCCTAATTTGGGTTTGACAATGGATCTTTAGCACTAGCTTCACTTTTGAGAGGTGAAATTCTTTATTCTCTGTCACCTAGATATACTCTGGAGAAGGAGAGCAATATCTTACCTCTTTGTGGTTCTTTTTGAGGTAAGTCATCTCTTCACTCAGGGTTTCATACTGAATCTCCAGGTCCGTTCTGCACAGGGTGATCTCGTCCAGAACTCTGCGCAGCCCATTGACGTCGGCCTCTACACTCTGGTGCAGAGCCAGCTCGTTCTCATACCTGAAAGAGTTCACAATTTCCCAACTATTGTACAACTGAAGAAATAGTCACCATAAAAGGAGCAGTGAGCAAATGTTAAAATTCTAAAATTTTGAAGGGGCAGGTTTATCCATCAGAGCCAACTCTTCCCCACTCACACCTGGGTTGGCTCTGATGATGATAACTGGAGCTTCCTCTCTTTCCTCCCTGCATCAAATCGAATAATTCGGGAGCTCCGGTGGTCTAGCGGGTAAGGAGCTGCACTACCAACCCACAGGAGGTGATTTGATTTCACTAGTTGCTCCATGAGAGAAAGATGGGCAATCTCTTCCCCTCACTGTGCGGTTTATCGCCTCTGAAAACTCAACTGCAGAGTCAGCTGTGAATCCATTTCGATTCAACAGCATATAACAACAACAACATCATATAATTATCATGTTAGAAAAAAAATGCGGAGGTATTTTGTGAACAGGAAAAGAACCAGGGTATTAGTTTTATGGTAGCCCATACCTTTTTTTAAAGCCATAGAAAAATAATAATCACTGTTTATTTTCAATCTGAATTTGGAGTTCTAGAAGAGTTGGTGGTGTTTAAAGGATAAATTAAACAATGTAGTGAACTTAATATTTCACCCCAGTCACCATGAATTGTTTCCAATCTGTGAGCCTACTTACTTAAGTCTGAAGTCATCAGCCGTCAGCCTGGCATTGTCGATCTGGATAACAGCATTAGCATTGCTGGTGGTGGAAGTGATAATCTAGGAACAGTAAATTAGACTTTTAGTCACTTATCACAACAACAACAGCACACATACTCAAAACTCTAAAAGACTTGTTTCAGGCAGAAAATGGAAAAATTAAAATTTAATGGGATTACAAAAGAATCAGTAGCATTTCTAGTGTTATGCTAACCAACTGAAGGGAATCCCTGGGTGATAGAAAGGATGCTTGACTGTGACCTGAAAGGTGGCAAGCTCGAGTCCATCTGGAGGCACCTTGGATAAAAGTCCTTACACTCCAGAAGAATCAGCCACTGAAAACTCCATGGATCACAGTTCTATCCTGACACATGCAAGTCAGCTCACACTCCTCTGGACAGCAACCAGTTTAGCCAAATCTTAAGAATGCTTTTTCCTCTTGCTAAATTGACAATTTCTTCGGAAAAAAAAAATCACAAGTGGGGATATTAAATATTAGGATTTAGTGAAGAAAGAAGAATATATTTAGAAATAAAAGTACCTAAAAATGACTGCAGAGTATCAACTCTTACCTGATTTTTAAGATCTTCAATTATTGGGAAGTATCGACTATAGTCATGGTCCAGACCACGGCAGGAACCAGGCCCAAACTTCTCATACCACGCCTTGATCTTCTGCTCCAGCTCAGCATTGGCCTCCTCCAGAGCACGCACGTTGTCCAGGTAGGATGCCAGGCGGTCATTGAGGTTCTGCATGGTCACCTTCTCATTGCCAGACAAAAGACCCCCTTCGTTCAGAGTAAACCCAGTGCAGGAACTGCTTCCTCCTACACTGCCCCCAGATGAGCTACCACCAAAGGCACAAGAGAAGCCACTTCCAATTCCAGGTAGGCCACATGCATTCCCAGCCCCAAATCTGGATCCGCCACTGGAGAGTCTGAGCGACCCCGTGGTGGACTGGGGACTGGATCTCCTGGATCCACTGGAAAGTCGAAGAGACATGATGTTCAGGGCAAGCACGTTGTGATGTGTGCTCACGGAAGTCAGAATGGAGAGCCTTCTTGTTTCAGCTGTTTTGTTTGCCTTTTTATAGACAATTCTCAAGGGTGTCCTGGATGGAATTCTGCCTACAGAGAGTAAAACATAGCTTGCCAGCCTCAGCAAGTTAGCGTAATTGGACGATTTTTCCTAATTAGTAAGTACCTTTGCTTGGTTTATTTCTGTAGGTGGGTAGTTACCCTCAGGTTGGTGGTTATCTGAGAAATGGGTCTGGGTGGAGTAATGCCAGGTTGATTATTACATTTTTAAATTGCGAATGAGTCACTCTTCTCTTCTACCCTTAGAAGATAAAGCTCATATGTCCACTACAGAGCGAAAATGTGACGTCATAGTTTTGGGCTACCATGCCAAGGCAGATTTTGATGGTTTTGAGAATTTGTATGCTTTTATGTGCTCAGTGTTTTCCACACAGAGGTAAAAGACTAGATCTGCATTGATTGTCTCCCTAACTTGTTCCTCCACTCAAGTTTGCTTTCCTTTTCTTACCACTGTTTCCTCTGGAAAATTAACCTACATTTTGGCTGACATGAGTGTCACATTTGTTAACACTTATTTGTGTCTGTGCGTAGTTGTCTTCTTTTATCCACTTTGGTAATCAGAAATACACCCCTAATAGCTGTTAGGTTTTGTGGGAGCTTAGACAGGGCTCTAATGTCTTTCCTGACCCTGCAAAATGTGAAGCCAACTAGGAAGGAAGTAGTTAATCTTTCTTTCTGGGTTGGTTTGTTGTTGTTTTTTTTAAAATAGTTAATCTTTCTTTACTTCATAATGTTTAGCGTAGGTGAAAAGCAGCAACAGAAAATGTCCTAGCTGTGGACTCATATATATTTATGGTGAAACCTAAAACATTACAGAATTTTTATTTTTTTAGAAATCTGAAAATTGCTGCATAACCAAAATGTCTCTTCATATTTATTAAGTGAGGTTCTTGCAAACAAACTGACTCATTCATTCTTTTGATAATTATTTAGTAAATTCTCACTGTTTCCCTGTCATTGTCTTCAGCCCTTAGAATTGTTGTTGTTATGTGCCATCGAGTCACTTGCCACTCATAGTGACCCTATGTACAAGAGCCCTAAACGCCGTTCTATCCTGTGCCAACCTCGCCGTCTCGAACACATTCATTCCCACCACTCCACTCACAGAATTGATACCTTTGAGCTGTGGTGTTGGAGAAGAGCACTGAACATTCCAAGGACGGCCAAGAAAATGAATAGATACACCTTTTCAACCTATATGCAGAACAGATTATCCGGGAGGTGGGGCTCTATGAGGAGAAATGTGGGGTCAAGATTGGTGGATGATTTATCAACAATCTGCGTAATGCAGAT